CACTCTTTCGCAGGAAAGCTTCTTGAATTTGATAAGCCATCTAAGCTGATGGATTCTTCTCAATCCGCCTTTGCTAGGCTTGTTGCAGAGTACTGGGCAAATTATAGGAAGGGCTCTCCTCAATCTCTTTTAAATAACACAGGAAACCCAATGTGATGAATGTCATTTTTATGCAATCGAGTTTTACTTTATTGTCTAGGGTATGGAGTATTTGAAAATCTTAGCCATTCATTTATGTGGGAAGCCAATGGGCGTCTTGTTATATTTTTCCTTATGGTTTTTGGACTCTAGTGCTGTCAAATTTATGTTCTATTTATTGAATGCCAATGATATTTATGAAGTTTGCTCAAAGGCAATTAGAGACTGCCATAAGTTGAAGTCATGAGAGAAAGGTTGTTGCTTACTGAGAGTTGGTCTTGGGTGGAGCCTCTTGTATTGGCCTACTAGAAAGGTTAATTTTGAGGATTAACCCCTTTTTGAGGCTCTCATTTTGATAATTATTTGACTTGTGCAATCTCTTGAGATGATAAAATTAAATAAGCACTACAAATAGCTTAAAGGGAGGGATTTATCTTTATTTTGAATAATAAAACAATCAAAGGTATTTTAGTGAAAGTATATGATAGAACATGTTATTATAAATGACTTGCAATACTTATCATATGAGAAACGATCACATTCAAATACTCTTAATGCATTATAAATGTTGAAATCTAGTTTTAAGAATATCAAGATTTTTTTTTCCAAAGCTTGAGATTAAACTCTGAGCTATAAAAATTCGTACATCGGTCTCATCAACTCTAATTATTATTAGAAGATAGATCAGACTAACCAAATAGAAGTCTAGTCTTGTTAACTTTAGTTTTTAATAGGAGGAGAATTAGATCGATTAAGTGAGAGCTTAGTCTTGTCAACTTCAGTCATTGTCATGAAGAAGACTGGGCCAACCAAATATGAGTCTAGTCTTATCAATTATGATATTTATGGGAAAGTGGATCAGACAGTTAAGTAAGAGCTTGGTCTAGTCAATCTCAGACCTTTTTAGGAGGTGGATTGAACAAACTAAGTGGAAGCCTAGTCTTGTCAGCCTTCCCCCTTTCAAGAGGATGATCATATTGGTTGGGGTGGAATTTACAAATTTACTCTATATAAAAAGTGGTTTATTGAGAGCATGCATTATTTAATAATTATGAAGTTGATTTTAAAAAATTGATTTCATAAAATTTTGATTACTTATAAGATTGTCGAGGGAAATTTAATTTTAGCTTAAATTAATATTTAACCAGATCAATATTCTCGGAGCAAGTGATTGAGCGATTAATACTCTAATCATATTACATGTGAGTTAGTGAGCTCGACAACTTGCACGCATCTCAATGCACTTGCACGATACACTAACACAATTTTCAAGGAATATATAAGATGCAATTGCATTGGTGATAACACAAAATAAAGAGAGCATCGTGATGCGTTCACTTAAAATGTTCAGGAGTAAGTATTTTTGAGGTGAATGCATGCTCTTTAATATAATTTCACTAATTTCAAGATGATGTATTTTAGTTAAAAATAGCCTCCCAAAAAGTTTATAAGCTCTAAAATCATCTAAAATTTGAACAGTTACATGAATATTGCAATGTTTGTGAGACTTTATTTTGAATTTATCAAATTTCATTTTATGTCCGCACCTAAATATGTGTTATGAATCTGATGGCTTATAAGACATGCAAAATTGGAAACAAAATTAGGTGCTTTTAAAATTTTGATTCTATTTTAAATTTCTATGCTAGAAGTTGTTTAAAATTTTTTTGCTCTAATTGGGAGGGCATGATTTGTTCGTATATATCCTATTTTGGGCCCAACATGACATATTTTTCTATCTAAAACTAAGAAGGCTATTAAGTTCATTCCAATCAAATTTAGATTCAGTTCTTTATGTATTTTGAAAACTTACATGCAAGGTGGTTCAACTCGCCTTTCAATCGTGCAATCCAAGTCTCTTCTCAGTTCATTCCAAGTCCACTTTGTCTTTTCTTTTTTTTTTTCATTTCTTTAGTTATTTTTCTGCTTGTTCAAGTCTATAAACATTCTTTTAAGTTTTATATAGGTTCTATGTAAGCTCTATTTAAGTACTCGCCTTCCAATAGTGCAATCCAAGTCTTATGAGTTCATTCCAACTCCACTTTGTCATTCCAAGTCCACTTTGTCTTTTCTTTTTTTTTCATTTCTTTAGTTATTTGTTAGCTTTTTCAAGTTTATAAACATTTCTTTCAAGTTTTATATAGGTTCTATGTAAGCTCTATTTAAGTCATCTAAAAGTTGAAAATCAAGTCTCCAAGTTTCAGTTTTTACTCCTTCAGCAAGATATCACATGCCGATTCAGAGCGACTTAAGCAGGAGAGAATATTAAATGCGCTGCAAATATGTGCTTTTGATTGTGAGAAAAACAAATCAGAATATTATGGTCTAGTAATTTGAATTAGAAGGATGAAAGGATGAATGGATGAAAGAAGAATACTCACAAATAAAAAATATTTAATTACTTTTGTTTTTGTCTGTTTTTATTTTTTTTTAAACAGTATATATTCATCAACATAAATGATAAGATAATGTTCCCCATAATTGAACAATAAGATAACTCAATAAGTATGGAGTTCATCAAGTTGTGGGTAGGGACCAAACTGATTGTCGGGTGAGTTTTTAATCATGTCTTTGGGTGGCTTGTTAAGTGACTGGAGCTGTGGAAAAGAAAAACTCACTGCTCGTGGACAATTCGTATGCGGTTTATTAAATAGGTCATGTTTGAAGCAAGCAGAACACTAAAAAATTTCTAAGATCGAATTACAAATAATCAAAAAATGAACAACCCTTTGTTGAATAATTTTAGACTCATTTTAGCTTGAAATAAAGAAATTATATATATTATTTATAAAATATTATATTTTATAGATTTATAACTAATTTTAAATCACAGAAGCAATGTGGTCATGTGATTCTATGTCTTTTATTCTATAGAAGTGTCACAAGTTTGAATCCCATTCTAAATTTGTTTTCTCTAATTAAAAAGCCAATTTCAAGCAAAATATGACCTGAACACGAACAAAATATGCAAAGCATCAGGAACACACTGTTTATGAGTAAATTTCAAACACGAGGCAATTTCAAACAAAATTAATTTTCAGCTCAAATTATAACTCATCGCTATAATGGTGTATCCAATGACACTGTTAAGCTTAGGATTTTTCCTTTTTCTGTGAGGAATAAAGTCAAAATATGGTTGAATTCATTAGCACCTGGATCAATTATGATGTGAGGTGACTTAGCCCAAAAATTTCTAGTCGAGTATTTTCTGCCTTAATAAACAACTAAACTGTGCAATGATATTTCTTCATACTGCCAACACAAAGGTAAGTCGATATATGAGGCTTAGGAACGATTTAAAGAGCTTCTTAGGAAGTGTCCGCATCATGCACTACCCGATTAGCAGATTATTCATATTTTTTATAATGATTTAATAAGATCTCTTAGATATATTATTGATGCTGCCGCTGGTAGATCACACATGTCAAAGCCATTGGATGAGGCTTATTATTTATTTGAAGAGATGACCACTAACAATTTTGAATGACCTTCTGAGAGAGTAAACCCTAGGAAGGTAGCTAGTGTACATGACATAGATGTGCTTTCGATTTTAACATCTCAAGTAGCGGCCATATTTAGAAACCTAGATCAATTTGGGATGATCAATCTCAAGTACCTCCAGTAATTGAGAAAAAATCGTTTGGACAATTAGTTGATGTTAATACTTCATTATTTTAAACTTTAAATGAGATTAACAATAAGCCTAACAACCCTTATTCTAATTTCTATAACTCTGGTTGGAAGAACCATCCTAACTTTAACGTGAACAACAACTCTGGTGGGGGAAGCCAACAATGGGGAAATAACCAAGAAAAACCTTTAGGAAATTAGAAAAACCAAGGTAGTACCAACTATAGACATTCTTATTCTAGAAAAACCTTTAGGAAATTAGAATAACCAAGGTAGTACCAACTATAGACATTCTTATTCTCCACGATTTAACTCTAACCTACAGTTCAAGGAAAAGAAGTTGTCTTGAGAGGAAGTTGTATTACAGATAGAGAATCAACTATAAAGTCAAGATGCAACAAATAGAAACATAGAAAACCAATTGGGATAGATTGCTAACTCACTTAGCAATCGACCCCAAGGAACTCTTCCTAGCAACACTAAGATTAATCCTAAGGAGAAGAATAGTTGAAAGATGTTAAGTTAAGGAGTGAGATGTGGAAGAGAATTGGAGGATGTAGTTCAAAAAGATGTGTTTGAGAAAGAGAACATGGAGCCTGAAAAACCTATGGAAGATATCTTAAACAAAGATTAATTTAGAAAAATCACCATCTTCATTTCCTCAAAGACTCGAGAAACAAAAATTGGATCAATAGTTTTCAAGATTTTTTGAACTACTTAAGAAGCTGACTGTTAATATTTCTTTTGTCGAGGCTCTGGAGCAGAAGTCCAATTGACGTACTCACTTTTCAATTGTCACAGGCGACAAGCAAAAAAGAAAATCAAATAACTTGACTAAATTTCTAACACAATAATCTCTTTTTTTTTCTATACAAAAAGGATTTAAATACATATCACTTAATTCATATATATTTATATATCTAACTCCTAAAATTTAAATTTTACACACACACTTTATTTTTTTATGAATAAAAATATATATTTCATATATATATTTTATTTTTTTTATGAATAAAAATATATATTTCATATATATCTAACATTTAAATCTTAATTTTGACATATATGTCGTCTTATGTATACATGAAAATGTATATTTCACTTTTTTTTAATAAAAAAATATTTTATTATGCTATATAAAATAGTAGTGTGATATAAATTTAAAAAATAAACTCTTAGTCTTACATGTATAAATATGTAAGAATTGAGGGGTATGTATGAAAATGACTTAAATTGTAATTCAGTGCCCATCTCTTACCCTGCAAATTGATAATTAAAAAAGTACAAATTTAACTTCGATGGAATACATATTAAAATTTAAGGAATATATTCATACAACAATAAATCAAGAAGCTATAAATAATTGTATATGTACAACATTTTTGACAACATGGCATTATAATTTGCTCAAACATAGACTAACTTTTATTAGTATGATTATTTAATGTGATAAGTACAAACAAACTTTGTGGATGATTGTAATATTCAAGTTATTCAAAATTTTTTCCTATGATATATTTATACATATATTAGGATAGATTTCAATTAGATCA